CAAAGCACACAGCAGGATTATTAACCAGAGTCGTAGAGTATCAAATGTAGCTTCTGTCATTAAAGGGACACTTTCTTTACCCAGTGGTGGGTTCATAATGTAGTCTTTGGTGATTGGTTTTACCCAGAGCAGAACCATAAATAAAGGCGCCAAGAAGTTGATATGAAGTAATGTTTGTGTAATTTTTTCTGTTGCCAAATTCAGGGCATCCAGATGCATTTGAGCCAGCCGTAATCCAGGAAATGTCAAAAAATCCCCAATGAGTGAACAGAAAATAGCCAGGAAAAATTTGAAAGTAAGTTTTGAATCAGGACCCTGAGATTCTAAACCTTGCTTTTCAAGAAATTGCATGGCACTGTCTGAAAAATTTGTAAACCCTGTTTCAAGTCCAAATTCCAGATAATTCTCTGTTACAATCAAAACTGCCATTGCTTTGACGAAGAAAAAAAATCCAAAGGTGACACAAACTGATCTTTCACCACCATCTTCTACTTTAAAATAGTGTGTAGTTAATGAAAATAGAACTTTGATTGCAAAAGATAAAACCAGCAGGCACCATACTAAGCTGATATTCATTTCCTGTGTAGGCTTCATAAAACTGTAGTAGACTTCAGTTACTAGATATACAACTGTAGCAGCCACTGTGAAATCCACCAACCACTGGTATTCTGGAAAGTAATGCAATGCTGTCTTTTCTGCTTTTCCCTTTTTGTTGCTTCCCTGCAAGAATTCTTAATTCTTCTTCTGTAGGATGCTGATACCACCTTAAAAGTCGATTCTCGTTATTCGAGGTAGTTATGTTCTATAAAGTCGCCGCGAACATTGAACCATTGTTCCTGCCATTACAGAGTAGCCATCGAGCAAGAGAATAGTGAGGTATAATCTTCTGCATGACACTGGCCATCACCATGGTAACAACCAGCTGTATACCTATCACACCCATGGCGCCAAGGACGGGTAGTGGACCAGACACCCCGGAGCCGCCGGATCTCCCCTGCCGGTGTTGGTCTCCTTGTTCTATGGGACAGGATTGAGGGCTTACCTCAGCTTACCTGAAAAATCAATTTTGAGATACTAATATGCACAAGGCATTTTTAAAACATCACAAAAATAGTAATAGTACTAATTATTCATTTCCAAATAAAATGTGTAGGCTGTGAAAGTCATAAATTGACAAAGTGTCAAGACAGAATAAAGTTTCCTTCTGCTGAAACTCCATGTTTCTTTACCATTGTGGAGGAATGAGATGAATAAAGATTACCAAGAAGAGGTGATGAGCCAGGCATGGGGGTGCACACCTGTAATCCCCGCAGCTTGGGAGGCTGAGGCAGGGAGATCAAAAGCTCAAAGGCAGCCTCAGCAATTTAGCAAGGCCTTAAGCAACTTAGCAAGACCCTGTCTCAAAAGAAAATTTAAAAAAAGGGCTGGGGATGTGGCTCAATGATTAAGCACCCCTGGGTCCAATTTCTGGTTCAAAACAAAAAAAGCAATAAAATTTCTTCAGTCACTTTGAAAGACTTAGGAAAGAAGAAATAAGTTTCCATCTATAGATTCCGTTAGGAAAATTGTAACAAGTGAAAGTCAGTGATAAAAAGAGAGAGAGAGAGATTTCTGCAAAATTAGGGGAAGTCAAGGCTGGGCATGATGCCCCATGCCTGTAATCCAAGCCACTTGGGAGGCTCAGGCAGAAGGATCACATGCTCAAGGCCAGCCTCAGCAAGTCAGAGAGACATCTCAAAAAATAAAAAATATAAAACAGGCTGTGAGTGTAGCCCAGTGGTAAGGAGATCCTGGGTTCAATCCCTAATCGTACTAAATAAGAACATAAATAAAATTAAAGAAAGCCCGAAAAATGGTATACATTAAAATGAACATTATCTCTCACTTGGCTGAGTTGATCAGTCCTTGGCAGGATTCAATACAGGATGAAGAGCCTCTATCTCAGGGTGATACTGAAAAGACAGAAGTACCCAGGGTGACAGTTGGCTATTATTTAAACATGAAACAGGGCTCCTTCCCCAGCAGGTACACCAGCAATATGGGAGCAGAAAACCACACAGGTGTGTTAGAATTCCTCCTCCTGGGCCTCTCAGATGATCCTGAACAGCAGCTGCTGTACTTTGGGCTTTTCCTGTATGTATACCTGGTCACGGTGCTTGGGAACCTGCTCATCATCCTGGCTGTCAGCTGTGACCCCCACCTCCACACCCCCATGTACTTCTTCCTCTCCAACCTGTCCCTCACTGACCTCTGCTTCATCTCCACCTCAGTCCCAAAGTTGCTGGTGAACATCCAGGCACAGAACAAAGACATCTCCTACACAGAGTGCCTGACACAGGTCTATTTTTTAAATACATTTGCTGGAATGGAAAATTTCTTACTGACGGCGATGGCCTATGACCGCTTTGTGGCCATCTGCCACCCCCTGAACTACACAGTCATCATGAACCCCCGACTCTGTGTCCTCCTGGTGCTGCTGTCTTGGCTCACCATGTTCTGGGTCTCCCTGATTCATGTTCTACTGCTGAATCGACTGACCTTCTCCACGGGCACTGAAATCCCACATTTCTTCTGTGAACTGGCTCAGCTACTCAAGGTGGCCACCTCGGATACCCTTGTGAATAACATCTTTATGTATGCGGTGGCTGCCCTGCTGGGTGTACTTCCCATGGCGGGGATTCTCTACTCTTACTGTCGTATCGTCTCCTCCTTAATGAGGATGCCCTCCCTTGCTAGCAAGTATAAAGCTTTTTCCACCTGTGGGTCTCACCTCTGTGTGGTCTCCTTGTTCTATGGGGCAGGATTTGGGGCTTACCTCAGTTCTGCTGTGATCCATTCTTCCCAGAGAAGCATGATCGCCTCCGTGATGTACACTGCGGTCACCCCCATGCTCAACCCCTTCATCTACAGCCTGAGGAACAAGGATGTGAAGGGGGCTCTGGGGAGAATCCTCAGCAGAGGAGCTTCTTGTCTGTGAAACATTCATTGGCCTCAGGAATAAGAGGTTTTGTGCATACTGGGGAAAAATATCACAATAGTTTCTAAATTCTTACCTCCAGATCTCTCAAAACATCTAGTTCTTTCATTTAATCTAGAATTCTATGACTTTACTCTTTTTTTTCTAGTTTACACACCTTTAAACAACACATCTCCTCGTAATTTCTTCAATGGCATCCCTGACTGATCTACTGTCCAAAAACTTTCTTCAGTTTTACCTCCACACTGTTGAGTTTTAACCAGAAGTGGCAGCACTTAAAGTAGCTTTGTTACCGTAAATGTTTCCTTAAGATCCTTAAGCTGTAGATGGTTTACTTAATTCAGCTCTATGGGTTTGCATGTGATTTGTGCTGTTTATGTATGTGTTATGAGCAGTAAATGTTTTACTGCATATAGTATGACTATAGTATGAATGCAATAAATATTAAATTTTGGCTGACATTGTAACCGGTAATTATGTATTAATCATGTGTTAATTACTTCTGAGTATCTTATGAACATGTTCTATTAGTAATGATTACCATGACCTTTTTAGAGGGGAGAAAATTGAAAATAAAAACAAATGAGCACATACATTCACATTCACACAAACACACACACAAAGAAAAACGAAAAGTCTTTCACAAGATTAAAGAGGAAACAAGTAGGCAAAGCATGCTTGAAACCCAGAGCTCTGACCTGGCCCATTTTCTCACCCAAAATATTACTGGTTATCTTCTCCTATCAGATATAGCTTTTCCTCTCTCTCTCTCTCTCTCTCTCTCTCTCTCTCTCTCGTGCTGGGGATTTGAACCCAGAGTCTTGTGCATGCGAGGCAATATCACTCTACCAACTGAGCTATATTTTCAGTTCCTTCCTTTCTCCTTTGAAGTTACAGGTGGCCAAGTGTTTTGTTCTGTTCAATGAAATATGAGTGGAAAGGAGCTGGCCCTTCTAGGCTAAACTATTTAAGAGCTCATTCATTGTTCTTAATATTCTTCCATTTAGCTGGCATTTGAGGAAGTATGTGCTGATATGGACATTATCATAAGATCAAACTTATCTGGAAAGTTGGGCTAATACACAAGGACTCCCCAGTCCATTTTCCGTGATTGGTGGATAATTTTCCTGAGAAAGAAATGATCTGATTTCATTAAGTCTGTGACATTTTACACTGTTTTCTGCAACAACGTAACTTACCTTACCTTGGCTGTTACAGATCCCATGTCTTGAAATCCTAAGCTGAAACTCCTCCTCCTCCTCCTGATTTTTTACTTACACTAATGTTGATTCTGAGATCTCCTCTTTCCTTCATGTATGATCCTTCTTGAGAACTGTAATTGAGTTTCCTGTTAATACATACACCCAGGCATGCATAGACAAGAACCTGTTCTTTATACTGCTTGTGTTGCTATAAAAAAATACCTGAGATGAGTTTGTAAAGAATGCAAATTCATTTGTCTCGCTTTATTGTGAATGTTATTCAACAAAATGTACATAATACTCTAAAGCTACTGGATTTTTTTTCTTTTTAATGACTACTTAAACATTTTCCTTTTTTTTCTTTCTTTTTTTTCTGTGCTAAGAAGGCACTAGATAATATGAATTTCCTCACTCTTGTACTCAGCAATTATGCATGGTGTTTAACAAAGGTTACACACATTTGGAAAACAGGATTTAACAAAGGTGACACACATTTGGATAACACATCTGGTTATTCAGGTTCATCTACATTGACTGAAAAAGCAAACTCCAAGTCAGAGAGATCGCAGGCCTCAGTGATGGAGACCCGCAGGTCAGCGGCTGCTGGTTCTGCCTCGGCCACATGAGGGAGCTCTTGCCTAGGAGAAGGAGCGGAGCCGCCCTCCACCCAGGGAGGGCTCACTGGCTGCCGCTGTGGGCGCCCTTTCCTGGAGTCCTGAGTCAATGAGCTGAAGGTGAAGTTGGCACAGTTTTCCTGCTTGACCATGGCTAACTCTGGACAATACCCCGCAACCTGAAGGGACTGCAGTCCCATCCTCTGCTCCCCAGACCACACTCTGCCCTCATCTGCGGCCTGCTTCTCAGGTATGTTGGAATTAAGGGGTGGGGTAGTTCTGGAAACCCCGAGAGAAGGTATAAACACCTGGAGTCTGTTTAGCTCTGCCAGAGTTTTTCTCCCACGTGCAGAAGGCACACAGCAATCAGGCGTGCAAAGCAAGGGTCTGCTCAGCCTTTATCCCTGACTCAGGCCACCTGGTTCTGTGGGTCTTTGAGCAGCTCCATGTGGCTGGACATCAGATATGCATG